AGGCTGTACTTTGAGAGGCACAAAGTCATATCGTGAATAGATGAAGAACGGCAGTAAAGGGACGACCAATGTCTGTTAATTGCGTACTTACCATAATTCGATTGAGTTTCAAACTCAGCGTGAGATCTCCGGGAGCTGCTGTGTAGGGCCAGGCACATTTTCCTACCAGATTGTCAATGGAGCGGATTACAGTCCCGAAGAGGCTGAGCTAAATCGGAATGAGGAAGTGTATTCTGTTACTCCTAAATTAGTGCAAAGCAATGCAGTGTCTTTGCTGTTTGTATGTTTGGCGTCATTTGCGCAATACTATATGCCGTTGTTCTATTTATTAACAGTGACAGCACAGTTCTCACTTTTCATTTCCCCGTAATTCAAACTGTATATAATATAAAAATACCAATTGGGGAGTGTTTTGTACGAACAGGTAAGAAATGCTAACTATGCATTCGGGAACTTAATGGTTAACCAGGCCATAGGTGAATGCTAATGCTAAAACTTTCGCCGTGAAAGTCTGAACCCCGAAAACAGGAAGGTTTGACGACGTTCTTATACTGTTGGTGAAAATTAACTGATCGAAAGTATTAATGTGGACTCGCTCAAAGCCGGTTGAGTGATAACGAAGGACCAACCATTCGACCATTCCACAGGGAAGCCAGGTAAATATGGTCTCCGCAAACTGACTGAAAACGAGTGAATTCGTTGGAATTGGATAAAATCTGTACTTCTCTGCACAATAAAAACGCCAAATTTGACTATCCTTTTTGACTTTTGACGAAAATCAGTAGAACGCGACAACCGCCGACGATGAATACCACGACTGGGTTGACGATAAATGGCTACAACGCCCTTCAAGTTATACTAAAAAGGGGATCTGCACACAGCATTATCAGCTTCAAATGAGTTCGACAAACTACATCAGGAGTTAGGCGACAAAAACTCTACACTGACCAATCGAAGATGACAAACGCTTCCTTACATTGACGGCGTCTTTGAGGCGGTATCCTATCTCCTAAGACCACTGGGAATCGGCATTGGCCATCGGCCAGAGTCAACAATTCGATATCCGTTCATGAGACCTAAGACCCCTCCGCCCCACGGTGAAATAACAAATGCCATTTATCATATCCAGTGCAACTCCTGCGAAATTAACCATATTGGAGAGGCCGACAAACGAATGCAGACCCGTGTACGTGAGAGGAGTAAGGAGGGTGGAATCGTCGTCTCTGGTGGCAGAACACGGCGCAAACGCTGGACACACTTTCGCCTCCCGAATGCTGAAATCCTGGGTCGAGGAAATGACCGCCTGACCAGAGGAACAATCAAGGCCTGGCATGCCGACACAAACTCCATCAAACGCTGTGTAGCGCTTCCTAAATCCTACCAGGCCCTCCGGACGCAGCTCAGTGAACAGAACAAGAAACGCGGGTTACGGCAAGACAGGAACCCAAATACGGCCCCTTCCATGGGGGACGCACACGTAGCTGAACTATAACTAGGGACTGACGAGGGTGCGATTGCCACTTCAGTCGCCTCATCCACTTTTCCGGCAGGCGAGAAACCGGACGGTCGCAGTAACGTAAACGGACCCGACGAAAGTGCTATCGACACTTCCACATATCTGGCAGGTTAGAACACAAGCGGTCGCGGGGTCGCAAAGATCACTGCCAGCCTAAGACTCGAAATAAGATCAATGCAAATACGTGCGATGACGCTAGTGTCCGAACGCTGACCCCTGATGAGAGGTAAACCCGTTGTAACAAGATAGCCACCACCTATAAATACTGTGAGGCGCGGTACAAGACCCACCTCCGACGATGAGAGCTTGTTTGCTTTTGAAACGTCAGGACAATATAACTATGGTTTCCGGGATCGCCTTTTCTTCTCATTTATGTCCAGGACGCGCATCTTCATTTCTGTCAAATATATATATATATATATATATATATATATATTAACATTCGCTCTGCAACTGCCTATGGGGCTCTATATCCGCTGCCGACACCCAGCGGAACGAGTGGATCCTATAAATCGACCATTAAACGCCTTCTGTCAAAAATAGGACTGTGCACACAAATCTCTTTCCTCTAAAATTTCGGTTTCTTTCTGTGAAAATGTTTATAATGCGGCCTTCGAGTACCTTACAAAATTTGTCTTGATAACTTCAGAGAAATAAATTTAGCTAAATGAATTTCAACGAGTTAAGTAAATTGTTAGGTTTTCTCTGATGGTCGGCTAAATCGTTCTCCAGGAAAATCGCGTTACGTCATGCCTGCGCGACAACTTGTAAGGTCACATACATCACACAGACGATAACTCGCTTATCACGCGTCAGCGTGGCCTAGAGCGTGTGATTATCATTTTTATTTGAGACGCAGCCCTTGGGGGATGATAGATTCGTCTGTTGAATTTTACCACAGTCTGAAACCAGGTCCTTCGGATTTCCTCGTTCCTTCCCTGACTCTTTCTACGTAATAAGCATACGTTCCAGTTCACATCTAGTCCACGTATCGCGCTGAATCCGAAAGAAAACACAGACAGAGAAGTCCGGTAAGTTAGTTTCGTTCATTTCTGGACTTTGTAAGTTTAAAAACACATTCCATACTTTGAAAGACACGTTCGCGGAAATCATTCCATTTCTAATTCATCATCTGCCCGGATTTTACGCGTTATCAGTGTATATCAGTCAGGCGGTTTTTGCTTTATGCGCATCATCCACACTTGCACAAATTTTACTTGCCGACCATCTACCAAATTTTGTCAGTGTTTTACGCCGTGACACGCGAAACAACAGGTGCTCAACTTGATCAATCCCAGTGACCCCTGCGTCATATATAATTTGTACTTTCGTAGAAGGCGCCAGCCAAGCAATATTCTGTAGTGCTAGAATCTACATTCCATGTGTTTCCATACACACTTCAGTCGCTTTGTAGGTCTTTAGAAATTCGTTGCACAAAGAGCTAATTAAAAGGCTCTGGGCTTTTTTATAATACGGCTACCAAGTACTCCGTCTATAACCCTTCAAATATGACGTCTTCGTGTTTTAAACGAGTAGACTATCAGCTTTTTGCGGAGCTGCAATAAACCAAGAGGTCCTGCATACTTAGGTAAATGCCCGTAATAGTAGGTAGATAATTGGGTCAATAAGAATGTAGTTCCGAGCAGAAAGCACTTTCTTTGTGATCGAAACCAAGGGCCTTCTAATTCGGTGGTTTCATTCCACCGTTCCCGGAGCCCTCCCTGCACGTACTCTTTGCTGCGTGAAGGCTCAGAGAAAACGGGGGAAAATATTTCACTAAAGAACCTGCGCTCTTCCTGTATCCACGGCAGAGATGTCCTGTCGTCATAAATGTACTGTTCACAAAATGCTCATCTCGAAAATTACGGCCAGGGGTCTCAGTTGCAAAACTGCACTCAGCGGTTTGCAATTTGATAGGACTGTGCCTGAAAAGGTCTGTTATGAAGGATTTACTCCTCGGAAATTAAACGAGGCAAGTTGAAACTGGAGTTCGTATACCGGGAAACACACGGATGAAGCTGGGGACCCACTGAGTAGCCGAACCCCTCGCGCTGCGTCAGTCAGCGGCACAAGATCGGCGAAACACGCGTGTCTGGGCTTTTAACTACTACTTTTGTTGTTTTTATGGTAAATAATTACACAAATTTGATAGGAGTTACTAAAAACTTCGAAATTTTTGAATGTGAAAGTTCAGTCATACGCAAGCAAATGCATACACTGGTTGCTGACCGGGCCCTATGCAAACCTTATGCATGTGTCTCATTGTACGCTCTAGGGGATGCTCAGTTCAAGTAATAAACTACTCAGTTACTCGTATCATCGATTGGTGCCATCTATTCACTGTTAACTCCTACAACAATAAACGGCAAATGTATGGTTTATGGCCGGAGTTACTTACTCCGGGGAGCTTTTGTGTTGAGCAAAAGAGCTGAACATCTAAGGACTTTGCGGTAGCACAAATTTTGATCCTCCATATTGACACCAATCAAAAGGAAACATTATTTTTGCCACTTAACAATAATAGTAGATTAATTTAATGCCCCTTTGCAGACATTGTCAAAAAGGTATTGTGTTGTCGTATTTCAATTCTGATGACTACCTTAAGTATCTTAACCACCCTCATGTAACAGCCACCTCGAGGTCTTTTTATTTTTTTCTCTGGCATGTACAAATAAATGTCGTCAGACATTTCCTCTTGGCACAATTGCTCCCGGGAGTAAGTAAACCCGGCCATAAATCATACCCTTGCCCAATAAACTTATACTGACTAAAACGGCATGAATGAATTGCGCACAATCTTCAGATGCCCTCCAGCGTAACCTTTTACGGTATTCATGTCTCGAGATAAATAAGTAGACCAAAAGTTAGGACATTCAGGGCAAAACAAGTACATATTAGGCATATTTTTCGGACACAAAAACAACTTATAAAAGTACCTAAGTGGTAATAAAGCTGCAACAAATGCCGATTGTAGTAAAAATTGTTTCTTTTGTTTTGGAACTGCTCTTGGTTTTGCACACACTAACTAAAGCGTGATCTAGTAAGAGGAGGCCGAACAAGCCATGCCATCTTTGCGGCAATAAAGATAAAAGGCGGTCATGTAACATTCACTGGCAACCCCTCCATGTCAAAGACTTATGGGGTTAGATGAAATCATGCGAGAAACCAGAAGATCAATGCTAAGAGACCCACTTATGAGCCAAAGCTCCCCGCAGTTGTATACTGCCGCCGCACATCGGCGAACTGTGTGCTGGGACTTTGGAAAGTGGTGAATCGAGGACCAGTACTTGCCAAGTTTACAACTTATTAAGAGACTCAGAAGCATCAAAATGTTGCTTTTATCTCATCGACGTTGAAATTATTTTATTCGCGTTTTAGCATGAAAATCGAAGAAGAACATGGTAAATCCATTCCCATCTCATTACAACTTTGTTTAATGATTCCTGACGAATATTCAAAACGCACTTTAAAGTAAATATGCATTAAGATATACTCAATGGATACGATTCGAAAGTTGGGGAACAGTTACCCACTTGAGCTCTCAGTTCTCGGTGGGTGTTGTTAAATCGCTGTTCGTGGCGTTGAAAACTTTCATTTCTGCGTTCGCGTTTGGTGTAGAGGGCCGCAAGCTCCGAATTCAGCGTGAGAATGTGACTTGCATGTTCCTCGCGCAGGGAAACCAATTTGGCATGAGCCTCTCGGATCTGAGAGCAGGTGGGGTAAAAGGTGAGTCCTCCGTGACATTTCATAGTTAATCCAATATGACAGTAAGCTTTAGTATTTTAACCACACCAATTTTGCGGTAAGTGAATCTTCCGGGATAGTCTGATTTGCGCTAACTGCTCACGACTTTGCGTAGTTTGTGGACAGTCATAAGTGAAAAAGGCTGTTCTTAATCAAAACAATATTTGTCCACTTCTCCACATCGTAACTGTTGTGCATGGAAAAGAGATGCCGGCGTTTTTCAAAGTTAAACAGCAAATATCTAGCCTGTCAGAATTTCCTCATTCTTATATCCTGAGTCGGCAGTCGTACTCGTTTGCTTTCAAGCTACCTACTTAAATAACCATTCTACTCAGTCAGTAATCAGCCCGCTGGGGTATAAATAACACTGTGCCCTCTAAACAATCCGTGAGCATCCAGTTTTCTTTGTGGTGCTCTTGGAAACAAGCACATAGTCGCTGGAGAAGGAAGAAAAAACCATAAATGTGCCCGGTTTCATTCTGATAAAGTGAGGATTATACTAATATGAAGAATGAAACATTTGTGGGATTTTCTAGCACGCATATCACGCCGTAATGAAGGAAGGCTCTATTAGCTGTTTCGGCTTTATTACTGATCCCTCTAACAGGTCTTAGACATTGTCCTTCTGAGCTGTTACGTTTATTGGTTTGGTTTTCGAGCCCAGAATTTCACAGTTTTGAACTAAAGTGCGCAAGTACCTGTCCATGCAGGTTAATAAGATGTACGATAAAGCTGTTTGCAATAAATCAATTTTGGCCGCATCTCATGAGTATATCAGTAACAGCCTAATTCGAATTTAAAAGTACGCATAATTAGTAAAAACCTAGATTTACGGAAATACTGTGCATCATTTGCCCTTAGATAAAAGGTCAAATGACCAGTCATTCAAAGGATAACCTGGGCAACCCACCTCGATAAAAAGCATCCGCTATGACTGGGGGTAGCGGCATGCACTTGTTCTAAATTTCTTATCTGCCGCTGAGAGTGCTACTATACAATAGCCGATGTCGACATAAAAGAGGATTGAGGCTTACGTAACCAAATGCGCTGACTGTCGCATCCTATTATAAAGAGGCAGACGCATGACTGAGGGGGAGGAGTGGGCGCACTTGCGTGCTGGTAATTCGATCCCATTTCTAGCGCAGTCCACGAATGCTGGTTTCTCTCTAAACAAACCACGCGTTGTGCTGGCTCGGTTCTATATTTAGATTTGTCGCGAAGGTGTTGAGTGGCAGGTTCTGGTTAGTGTCATCAGTCAGCCGAACCTTGATCCCGAATCCTAAAGATCACAGGCGTTAACCTGGACTCTCTGGTCATCGAGTTACAGGCGCTGGCGGTCAAATTCACTTGAGACTGGCATCAGATATCTACCTGACATTGATCTGAAATTGACTGTTAAACTTTGCCTTAGATTTTCTGCCACCGGTGAGTGCGCAGAGATGAGAACTCAACAATGAATGCATATTATGGACGACAATAAGGCAGACCGGAACGGCTGCGGTAACGGTAGAGTGAAGGACTTCCAATCAACTGTTGGTCACTGTGAATCGTGCCATACATGAATGGTGGTAATGGGGAGTTTTGTGGACGGGGTAGGACCCCAGACAGTAAGCTGACGAAGTGCAGGAAAATACAGAAGACTGACGGTGGCAAAAACGACACTTTTAAGTAAAATAATGAAAGTATGTAGACACGGTATCCAGGCGGATATTCCATGACCTTACATCTTGAAATAATGTCGGACCACCGACAACTGAGCCTATCTCCTGGCAGTCGTTTCAGTTATCCCTAAATTCGTGCTCGATTGGTCTGCTTTTTTTCTTCTGTGTAATTAAATGCAGCTACTAGTCATCAGTACTTGACTAGATTTCGCAAGTGCAGTAGATCTGCTAACTCGTGAAATGTTAACCGAAATGCGTTTTCGACTCAGAAAAATTACTTAAGTAGCGATTTAATATTAATCAACCTTAAGCATACTCCCGAGATATTTCAGTCACTTCGGGTTGCCGTCTTTTGAACGAGCTTTTTTCCGGCCACTTCAAAAATCCACACGCTGCAAAGAATAATTATTGATTACCATGAATTTTTCTCATTGATTTTCGATGCTTTTATAAATTCAAGTATATTTCATTGTAAACATGCATAAAAATATGCATACTTATTCTCGTTTGTAGAACATTACCTCCTTTTTAAATGTTATACTCGAAAGAAGGGTATAATTCGGTTTCCAAAAAGTTTCGAATTATGAGACTTTTTAAGACCGTGAAATACCCCTTCATAAAACATCGTGTTTCTGCATTTACTTACGTTGGTTTTAACGTTTTCAATATGGCTCATATCCACTGCAGGGTCAATCGAGCACGAATCGAGGGACAACGAAAATGACTGCCAGGAGATAGGCTCAGTTGTCCGATGTTCCGACATTATTTCAAGATGGGAGGTCATGGAATATCCGCCTGGATACCGTGTCTGCATAAACCCATTAGTTTACTTAAAAGGGCCGTCTTTGCTACCGGCAGTCTTCTATATTTTCCTGCATTTCGTCAGCTTACTGTCCGGTGTCCTACCCCGCCCATAAAACTCCCCATTGCCATTATTCATGTATGGCACGTTTCACAGTAGAACAACAGTTGATTGGGGTTCTTCACCCCACCGTTGCCACGGCTGCTTCTGGCTTGCCTGTCATGGCCAGTTAGGCCACTATGACTTCCACTTTTCATGTTAGTCATTAACACGATGTGAGTAAATATTCCAGGTCTCTTAGCGCGGTTAAAAAGCATTCCGGCTGCGAGTCTTCGGTCTTCATGATCTATATGGTCTATTGGTGATCGCACACAAGCCATAGATGACAATCCCAGTCCTCTATGCCTTCTACGTACTATTTCTTCATCACTGATATCAAACGGCGTCAATTTAACCAGGCTTTCTATGTCCAGCATCATGTCCCTTGACATCCTTCGAATTCACCACTTCCGAGGAATCATGATAGTTCATATTCGCATTGCTTGGAGTGTACTCCGTATCCTCCTCACCCTGCCCCCATTTCCGCCCTCTCCTTCTGTAGGGTCGCGACTTAATCAAGTGAGCATGAGGTGCGATTAGGCGTGGCAGGTAATCAGGCACTTCGCCTCGCTCTGCCCCACAAATGAGACAAGCTTCACTCGTGCCTTCCTTTCGCATACAGCCGAATAGCCATGGAAAGGTTTTCTTGAAATTCTAGTTCATATCAGAAATTTAAAAGGATATACTTGAGTTGGACACCAGAAAAAGCAGTTTTTTGAAGTGAATAAGGCATAAGCCACAGAATTATTTCACTTCAGAATGGAGTACCTAACGCATTATCCTTCCGCTTTCACTGTCTTGTACCAGGGTACGTATGACGTAGGTACACTATGTGGTTTTTAATAAATTATAACTAGACTGTTAACTGGAATATTGCCAAAATATAGGCCCCGGCAGAAAACTGGATTGCAGTCTGTACTCCCCAACATTTATTTCGAAGTTCATTAGACTTCCTCGCCTACCTCATCTTAAACCTACGGCATAAGTATCCAACAATGTTACAATCTAAAGTACTGGTAGTTGTGTGGCTTAGAATATACTTTTACCCTTCTGAGTAGATTTTCGCAGAAAGCTTTCTTTGGATTCACGAAGCCACCTAAAATTTTTATTGAGATATCCTAAGAGAGGAGAACTCAACATCGTGGAACCCCAATGGGCTCACCGGTCTCCGGTTTGGTGGCAGAACTGGTCCTACAGGAGTTAGAAAAGATTGCTTTCCTCCAATATGAACTGGTGTTTTGGCGCCGTTACGTTGACGACACGTTCGTCATTGTGAAGAAGGACATGCTGCAACATTTCCACAGCCTGCTCAACGCAGTCTTCCCTGATATAAAATTCACGAGGGACGATGAACAGGAACAGCAGTTGCCCATCCTGGATGTGCTCGCCAGACGAAACCTTAACGGTGAACTTGAAACGACTGTTTATAGGAAGGCTACGAACTCCACACAGCTTCCCAGTTTTCACAGCAACCATCCGGTGGCTCACAAACGAAGCTGTGTGAAGACGCTCTTCAAACGAATCAAAAGACATTGCAGTAAACCGGAGGACAGAGCACGTGAGGCCCGTTATCTCCGCGGCGGGGTCATGAAAATCCAAGACCGGTTAAAACCTGAAGAGCAATCTGGAATCATGAAAATCCAAGACTGGTTAAAACCTGAAGAGCAATCTGGAGTATTGTATCGCATTACGTGTCAAAATTGTCCTTGTAACTACACAGGACAGACTGGACGCATGCTCGGATCACGCATACACGAACACAAGCTGGCTGTGCGGCGAGGCGACGCATTATCACAAGTGGCCGCCCACACCTACGAAATGGGTCACGAGTTTGACTTCGCAGCCACCAAAATAGTCGTCCACGCCGGAAACAAAGCAGGCCGAGAATTGATTGAAGCCTGGGCCTCGGATGAGAACTCGGTTAATCGATTTATCGATCTGGCGCCGGCGTACAGAGCCCTTCGTAGTCACCTCCAGTCGTGCGACGTCGGCCGATGATTGGGCCTACGTGCCTTATAACTGCCGCCTATCCTGTTTCTGCCACTACCTCTGAAGATGGACTCCTGTACGAGTCTGAAAGCTCAGGATAATAAACGAAGTGTTCCGGTGCTCGACTCTTCTTCACTTATGCATACAACCGGAACTCGAAATTTCGCATTCATTCATGACTTTTTCTGCTTTTAACAAGTAGTGAAAAAGAGCGGGAAGCTGCCGAAAGGCGTATTGAGAGGCTCAGTTTCCCATTGAAAGAGTTTGCAACACAGTACTTGATTGCCAGATCAAATCAAACGAGTTTGAAAGCCAGATAATATTCCATCTCTGCCGACGGGTCGTGGACTCGCAGTCCGTGTAGGAGAGCATTTGGCCTTAAAAATACTGTATGATTAACTAACCCTGGCCCGAGATACCAGTCACTCGATCTGGCTTGCTGACTCTGATAGACGCGTCAGAAGCGATCACCGTAATGTCCTTTGTTCTTGTCAGTACCATCTCCCATCCACAGAGATTACATGGCAAGAATGTCGGTTATCAAGATGTCAGTGGAAAATTGTGTGTATTGTAAGAGCCAAGTCATTTTCAAGCCACCTCGAATTCATTGAGAATGTCTGCCGTGACAGTATCAGGCAGGGAGAAAAAAAGATTTTCGTTAGTAATTTTGAACAACGTAAGACTCACCACCCGAAAAGTCTTGATAAGATTTATGAGTGAAACCTCGATTTCAACTTTCTCCTTTTTTTCCAATATTTTATATAATGCGTCGGAAGATCGCACACAAATGGGAATTCGGTCATGAATATTATTTCCTAATCAAATGATGGCGTTAAAAAGGTCGTTTTGGTGGAAACCTCATTGAGAACTGTGTTAGCTATCAAAATGTACACTGGCCGCGGACCATCATTTCGCAGGTCCATATCCTTTTGATGTTGAAAACTGATTTAGTGATACTCTGGATAAAAAAATACAACTAACAAAAAAGAGGGAGGAAATTTGCAACCTCCCAGCCTCGAAGATGAAAGAATATGCCCTACGGAAGGCATCAGGGTCACTAAAACGATAGTGTATTCAGGTGAACCAATGCCCAGTTTTATAGCTCGCTCCCATTTACAGAGGGTGGACAGGTATACCGGGCACAATCACAGGGCAGCTTTTATTCAGGGAATTTCCTTGAATTCTAAATCGATGGGAATATACTTGCCGTAATTAGGGAGATTTGCGTGGCATTAGGTGGAACTCATCCGCCGACTCCACGTTTCTGCGGTAGGTCTTTTTTCAACGGAGTTATCGAAGACACATTTGTCATCTGTGCTAATGCTCGATGCTAATTTTCTCCCGACTTTTTCCCGTTTGTGTAAATTTTTCACTTCCCTTGCCTTCTTAATTATTCCAACTGTAGGAATACCGGCAAAAAGAAGGGTCAGATGTCGTTATGTAGCCCCACCTGAAGTAAACAAAACCCAGTCACCTCTAATACGGGACCGGTGGCAATAGGGGTTTTTACAGATGGAGCCGGGGAACGCTTAGACGACGAGGTCAATTAGTTGTTTGCAAAACCTCTGATTATAATCCCTAATCCTAAACTCTAACCTCTAATCCTTAAGCCCAACCCCAACAGTATTGTGTCCATCAGGTGGGACCACCAAACCACATCTTACAAAAAAAGGAAACTGGAATGATCATTTCAGGTCTATTTGCGATCATTAGTCTGTCATATTAGATTCCCAGGTGGGTACTCGAAACTCGAACCCAAGGCGTTGTTCATCATACCCACGTCGTTTCCGTGGCACCTATACAGCCAGGACAGTTAACATTTCCTTCACCGTCCTAAAATCAGGATATATGAATGAATGTAAGCACCACGCGATAGTTTCAAATAAAAATCTCACTCTTTCGAGTGCCCAAATCAATGTTTGTCATTCTGAAGGATAGTAATTGTACACAATTGAGAATGACGACACAAACTTTTGTCAACTCTTATTCAGGCACTAGAAATTTGTGCGCACTTATTCAACATTGAGTCTTTAAACGTGAAGACAGCCTATTGGAAGGTAGTGTTGAAAAGCTGTAAGCAGTATGAAATGCTAATTAGATACAAGGATGGAACTAGTGAGCCGGAGACTCGTGACCTGAGAAACGCTTGAACTATTCTAGGTGCTTTTCGCACGGGAAGCCCGACGTTATGCAAATATTCAGACCGCCGGAAACCGGATGCTCTTTTATATTCTCAAAACGTATCTTTTCCTACAGAGGCTTGCCCTATGCCCAGTGATGAATCGGTCTGATTTTGGAATATTAATTGCCACGAGTAACAGCTTATCCTAGTTATGTTGTACGCATTCCTTAGTACTTGCTGTAAACTATCTAGTTTTCGTTTTGGGAAAACGCTTATTGGCCGACCTGGGGTATCCTGTGACGTCTCAGTGGCTGTTTATGCGAGATTCGTCGTTCGCTAATTTTCATATACCTTCTTGGTTGTCATGCCGACTGTACTGAAACGCAACTCACCTGTTCTGATTTTTCGTTCATCTCCTTTAGGAGGGAAATATTGGTTTCATAAAGAGTGTTATATCGCATAATCAGACCACCGAGAACGTTGTCCGCGATTTTGATGTAGTCTGTAAAAAGTAAGTAGACCCACGATCATAACGTGCTAAAGCATTCGATTTTGTTTATATAGCTAAGAAAGACGATAAAAGAACAGGAAGCAGGGTACACAAGTTTCCAAAGGTATCATAGTAGTCTATTAAAGCAATTGCGCTACTGCTTCCGCAAATCTCTTTGCTCCACCCTCTTCTACCAATGTTTTCCGAGTATTAGTTGAGTATTGTTCTATTACGAGCCAGTAGGATTGCGTTCCTTTTTGTTAGGACCCTAAATATTGGCTTTGAACCAACAGCGTTACCTGTAACACAGGTAAACATGCACTAGAATGAGCCAAGACCGTTCCGAAATGTACCGTCAGGCGTAGATAAGGCGCATAGGACGATGATGCTGACACTAACTATCCAGATACGGAGAAACTACGCAAATTCAGAGCTTACTTTTGCTGTCTAAAGAAAACTAGACTGGTGAAAACATTTGGTTCCCATTTGCCGCGCAGGATGACACAATTTATCTTCAAATCGAATTAATTAAACGAACGATAAATTCTAAAACGGTAGGACAGTGTTGTACGCCTTTAAAAGTTACTAATAACAGTGGAGGACATCAGTCGCATCGACTTCGCTCTGGTAGATATAACTGGAAGGGACTGCGCCAAAGTAAGCTGGTTGTTACAGAAGCCCTGATTCGCTGACCTCAGTTTAATCAAACAGTTCGCCATACTGACAGCGCGCCTGCTATCTAAAATCCCTGACATGGGCTTCATCGATTTAGAGTCGTCGTATGACGCAGATGCGGGGAAAGATCAATTTCATAACTCGTCTTTTGGAATCTTCACCATTATATCACCCTTTACGCAGGGCTCTCCAACGAAAATAGATCAAGAATAGACTGGGTCGATGTCAGTATAAAACGGAGCCCCCTGGCATATCGGGACTTGTCCTCAGGTACTAATCCACGCAACCATGCCTACTGAAGACGCATCGACAGGTAGCTCTGCAAAGTGGCTGGTTGGTGACGGGAGCCTGACACAGACGCCAACTCATCTAGCAGAGAGACCTCGAGGCACGGGGTTGTAGACGGTCATCCCGAGAGCAAACCGTCCAATGCCTGAACTGGACCAGTCTGGTACAAATAAGTGGTAGACTTGTGAACAACTCGTTCTCCTAGAACGGCATCGAAAATGAGTGGGAAAGATCAAATAAATGTAGTTGGTTTCTCAAAGGTCCAACTTTCTTCTACTTCCCTGTTATTTATACGACTGGATGTGGAAAGGGAGGGAAGGGGTGCGTACAGATATTGTGCGTAGTTTAATCAGAGGAATCCAGTCGCACAGATGTACACAAATTGTGCGTCGCAAAAAACATGTTTAAAAGTATCTTCTTGTCGCTTATTTTCCTGTCCGAAGGAGCAGATATCCAACATTCGCAAGATATTTTCAGTTAAACCCTAAGGAGCAGTGGGTAACGTAGACGGGGACGCAGTGAGGCTGTATAGACAGTGACGGTCGTACGATATAAGACAACCTGTGGAGATAAATTAGATGAAACCGAACTACTTATGTGGAAAAGGAAGTCCGATGTCATGATTTTGGCAGAGGTATACCTAAAATCGAATCCATCAGGGGGGGCTAATGGTGAAGGATCACTGAAGCAATCTGTTGACGTTTCGCAGTACGTGCCGGGGTAATTAATAAATTTCGATAGTAGATCCATTGAGACTATAACACAAGTTGGTATACTTTCCAGCCTCAACCACCGAAAACCGTATTCGTTTGAATGATTTAGAACAACCAAAGCGATCTGGAACTTTAGCGTGGTGGCCGTGACCGATTATCTAGCGGTGTCAAGTCAGGTTACAACTATGCTACATAAGATGCAACTTCATTTGCATTTTGGAGAGAAGGCAGAAGAACCTCTGTACTCTAATCGCATGAAATGTGACACAGTTCGTTCTTTACTTCATTCATGCCACCTTCGAGCAACTACTGGTGGGCTGCCTGTGCGAATTTCGACTGAGATACCGTTTACGGCAGCATTTTCACTGATTGGAGGAAGTCTAACGACAGAGAAATGGACAGTTGATATGAGAGTATGTTTTCGGTGATCGAATCTTGCTGCAGTGACCCCTTGTTCGTCCCTCATGGGCTTCATCGTCTCTAACGTCATTCTTCCTCAAACATTTGTTTATTGAGATCGTAACTGCCTTTTAAGTTAACACGTTACATGCATGTTTGGTGCACGAGGTCAGATAACTTAGATTGAAAATTGAAACGGCGGCCAATGAGCACCCAGGATTTCGACATTTGACGAAAACCCGAAATCTTCGGGGTATTCGTTGATTATCGCTGTCTTTAAACGGGACCGAGAGAGGCCCCTCGGAATCGGAAGTCTTTTTGGATCCAAAAAACTTTACTCCTCCTGCGCATTCGTAATGACCGTGATAACCTTCTAACCTGTTATGATCAACGCACCGTCATAGTCGATAAGTTAATTTGAAGTTTCAGACCTGAAGAAAAGTAGGTGGCTATGTCAAACCAAAATCAGATATTCACAGTACAGAGCCAGACTTTGGGGTACCCACACCCGTCCCTTATGATCAAAAGTGATTACAAATGATGTATTTAGTACGTTCCCAGTAGCTGGTGTCCCTCGTCTCACCTACTCCAACATCACCCGCAATAAAATGTTCCCATGTAGCTAGGTTATTCCTTAAAAGGAGTCTGACATGAAACTCAGCGCTGCATCCAGGCGTGGGTCCTCGCACACTGTTTCAAACGATTATACTCAAACTTGTTACTTAACCATCTTGGCTCAAAACAGGCTGCGCTATGGACGCGCTAGACTAAATCGGAGATCATATCAGCTCGCAGGACGCGTTTATCTGGCTGTGTCCATGTGAGATCTCAACCACCGCCGTAAATGCGTTTGTGGTACTCCTAAAAGGCAGGTCTGCACACAGCCCAATCCTAGCACCCATTGGTTGGCAGGCGCAAACAATCACGGTAGAGGAAGGAGGGGATGGGGACAACACCAGGGAATCCATCCTCGCAGCATATTGGTGAATTCCTCCATAATAATGAATCTGACGCCCGGTAGGGTCGTAGCTCGGATGGCTGTCAACTGACGGGACAACCTGGTTCACATTATGAGTTCATTGGAGTGACTGGAGTCCAGCCGAAGGACCTTTTCGTTCGTTGGCCTTTATAGCAATCTCACATACGTGAGCTCCGAGCCAAAGTCGTAGGAATCCGGTACACGCAGCAGAGGCTGGGTCGTGTGAGGAACGCGTAGACGGACTTTTCAGCCTTGTCGACCATTGTCCCTACGCCCATCTTCGGTCATCTTGACTTTGTCTTATTTGTGGAATAAGGCGGGTGAGAGAGCAGAGAGCGGACTAGACGCGACGGCATAAATAAATTCACATGCAATTAACCGGTGCTGCACTCAACCTGCGAGGCTACGGTTGACGCCATCGCTTGTCACGGTGAAGCTGTCGACATATCCATCGGATGTACTTAATCTAATGTAGTGCTATTGCGCAGAGTGAGGTTAGCTATGCTGAGGCTAATTAACTCAACTACAAATTAATTCAAATGAATCACCAACCTGGTGGAAGCATGTCAATCACTTGCATAAGATACTCCTCGAAGGTCTTGTATTGCTGCACCTTCTTCTTCATTTTTTCATACCTGTGGATAGAATGCACAACATTTCGGAACTATTAGTATACTCGACCAAAAGCTCATCGGTCTAGTTTCTGAATACTTAGACTTCGAGCCTTACTGCACAACTGTAAATTAAAGGCAAACACAGGACATTCTACTGCAGTGCTCAGGAATATGCTTTACGCCAGATTTTGGCTATATCTCTCTTACAGGATCAACATAAAGAAAATAAGAAGCCCGCCTTACATGGAAATGTTCAGATAAATTTTGTAAAAGTGACCTGAGGTATGATTGGTTAATTTTCAGAACGAAACATCTGGACAGAGTGGATATATTTAATAAATCAATAAAAATTTACTCTCAGCTAAGAACCAGGAGTGTCAGTTTCCAGTTTTCAGGACTTAAGTTTCGTTTTTCCGAAATTAACCTATGTATGGTTTTCTCGCGCCTAAATTGCAAATTATCAAAATGCACAAAATCGTCTGACAACCTGGCTAATGCCAGAGAGGAAGTGACTAATCAGGTGGGGACAGTAGCACCCTGAATCTTAAGTAGTTTCCAGTTCTCAGGAAAAAGAAGGAACAGTACACAAATTTTAAGACACGAAATCTACACGAAACTCTTGTTTGCCAAACACACATTTAAATCCATAACTAGTATCTCATCTGGAATCTTTGCTATTATACGTGTACTATCCACCGTGGAGAGTTTATGAATCAGCCCGGAGTGACTGATTTCGAATTGTATAGATTTCGTGGAAAATCTAAAGGCAAGTTGTACATAGTTAGAGATCAGTAACCAGTTGATAGCAGCAGGACTGTTCACTGTAGTGTACAACTACTCAACATGACCTTCGCGAACTGCATGCAGGCACTTTCTACCTTTCCTAATATGGTTTCTTTCAGACAAGGCTAGGAGGCTATGTAGGACTAACTTGATACTACCGTATCATTCTGAATAAATCTTTCAGACTGCTCTGGGTTCAGCCGTCGCAAGTGTTCTGAATTGTCTGCTATATCAGACCAGCGAAAAAAGACCTCCCGCTGAATTTGGCTCATAATTTGCCGCTTGGTGGAGGGGGAGGGAACAAGGAATTTTTAAAGGGGTAATTTCAAAACAGAAAACGCTAACAATAGGATAAAATCCAGCTCAACTGGCTCCTGTTGTTTAGCAAGAGCACAGCAGCTTTTCTGCAGAGACATTTTGACAGTCATGATTTCTGTATGGCTCGGGTCCTAGAAGTGCGTCGAGAAACCACGGTTTACCAGAGACGCATTTCGTAACTACACGCTCCAGGGCTCATTTTGTATGACTATGACATATACTGTACAAAGAGCCTAGTAAATGACCAGTACATAGGGAGAACAGTGCACATTCCGCGTTGTTTCACTTATTTTTTTTTAAATTAAAGACGTTCTAGTTACTGGCGCTGAAATTGCCCTTGCACCTTTGGACCTTAGGACAGAGCAGGTGAAAAGGCCAGGACTGGGTCAAAATGACTCCTCCCCAGTAACCTCTGGCAGAGTAATGTATTCATGAAATGACGTCGAAAGAATGCCTATAACTTACACTTGTTTGACTCGAGCGAGTTCGGTTTTCAGATCAGCCTCCTCACGCGCCCTGACTTTGCAGAGGTACATTTCAGTCTGATATTTGGAGATCGCTCGAACACGCTTTGCCTCATTGTCGCGCACAAAACCCTCAAATTTCTTCATTTGGTCACGTAACTCAAGTTGTCGGTTGGTGAGGTTTGTGCGTCTGGCTGTGCTGGCAGTGATTTTGCGCTAAGGCCAAGGGAAAATCTTAGAGGTGCAGACGAGGAGGAGGATTACGGTGAACAGTGGTTAATGCCAGTTTCGTTTATGCTTTATTGGCGGCCCCAGAGGTTACGAGACCTTTAGTGCGATTTTCTGTCCTTTATATTACTTTCATCCACAACAAACTGCCATTGAATCGTATACGCTCTGTCAATACTGCATCAATGGGCTGTGCAAAAAAAGCAAACGATACCCCTGAATTTTGAATATTTTGGGAAGTAAACACTGCTGCGGAGAATCGACAAACAGACGAGGACATTTCTTGAGGGAGTCCCCTAGGAGTTTACGCAGCTTCTACCCCGTTTACAGGACAAACCCTCGAACTTGAAGAAATCCATGGAATCCTGAGTAATTACGGACCAAGAATCTTCTTGGTCTGTGCTCACGGAGACGATTCTCGTTGGCTTATAGAGTCAGAATTCTTCGTCTGCTCCACTCTAAGGTTCTGTACATTCTCATTTCGTTGAGCTGAAATTCGCCTGATTCGAGACGGCGAGCATTATGCCCGTTTTAATAATGCTTTGCATAGAGAGGAAGTGGGTATTTGCAAAATTTGCTAAGATTTTAGCTTAGTAGCTGGAATTTCCACACACGCTATTTTTTTAATTAGGTTAAATCTCGTTCATCTGAAGTTTATACAATTGATTACTTTTCTAAGTTGTTCTTGAATTCTCCCCCCTCAATCGTTTTTGTCAATGTCTAACGTCAAGGCAGTCCGCTGTGTCCCCAAAGCTTGCAAACATTTATAACTTTCAATTCTAGAGTAGAAATTGCAAAATTTAGGTTACTTATCTACACTTTTCGGTTTTTAAATAACAACTACCACACAACCAAGTGCATAAGCTCTACACCCGAACAAGAACTTGAATAACTGTTCAAATTCTGCGGTTATGGAAGATGGGTGAACACCGCTGTCAAGAAATCTTCGGTGGCTCTGAACCTAATTGGCACAACTATGGTCAGCAGCCTAAATCGGTGATTATATGCCCTAAAAGCTCTCAATGACTAACTGACACTGATTCAAATTTCAGAAGCCTGTCCGGTGTAGGGATATGATCGGCTGATCATGAGAAATAAAACACAAATGGTCATTCTAGCGTACCTCTATTTGACGATAACACTTCACCATAGTTATGAAACAGCAAACGGTCTTTAAAACCAACTGATCCACCAATAAATCAACTAACCCGTTTTCAAATATTCGTACATTCTATCGCCCTGACTTGAAAAAATTGAGCTAGACAAGGCAAACGGAGTCCGGATCTACTTATCCTGCTTTCCTACATGCCAAATTACCTACTGCTATTTCTTTTATACCAATTTGACCTCACTCTATAAAATTACTATTATATTTTCCGGTAAGCATCTAAAATTTAGGCAAAATCGACGTTTCTCATACTGTCTGGAGTCTTTTAAAGTTTTAGCAAATCCCTCGTATTAATTTTCCAGAACTTTTAAGCGGCAGCAAGCGTTCCCGCGATATTTTCATTTGGTGACGCTTCATCCTCAATTGAAATGATGGATATAGAGCTTACGACTCTCCTCGTGATATATGTTCTTCAAGAGCATAACTTTATTCGACCTTCACAGACTTTGTGCAAGTTGGGAGTTTCAACTAACTAGAAGAATAAATGCCATGAAAGTAAAATTCCACCTGAAACTCCACGCACACCTGTGGACGCGTTTTAGAAAGCGTACACACTTTCCCTATAAGGGGAATAAATGTTTGAACTAGTTTCAGCACTACTCTTGGAATTGCAAATTTGCTAAAAATCCCATATTTTGACATGGGAATACCTGATGCAGTCCTACTCGGCCCATATGAATCTGTGTATTTTATTTTCCATCGAAAACAAGAATGAAGCTTCTTTGCCTGCACTCTTGTTTACATTAATGTTTATTGATATGTTTACTAAATTAATGCAAGTAGCCAAGTTTGTGTGGCTACACAAAGTCTCGCCAAGAGCCTTAGGGGTACTCAAAAAGACTTAAACTAAAATTTGTTGTAACCACTCAAATACCCTTCTTCTTAAGCGCTCGAAAAAAGCTTTATGAACGGGTTACAAGCCGTCACCAATACCAGAAGTTCGTGTTTGTCACTGTGCGCCAACAAATCGGCCGGAAACAACATGCGGCAACTTTTACCAGCTGCAGAATTTCAAACACAATCCTTGATATCTGTCATAGTTGAAATAAAGTTCGGCAAAACGATTTCCACGGGAAATATCAGCTGATAATATTGCCCTTTGCACGTCATGCCAAGAAATGCATCAGGTTTTTTATCGTTCCCAATATAATAGCATTCAGATTAGCACAGTAGATGATGTAAAGAAAAACGGATAGGGTATTTCAACATCAGAAATATGGAGCTACGCAAAATATTACTGTTTTCTTCGTAACTATGACTTTTCATGCCTTTCAAAACGGAAAATATAACTAAACAGTTTCTTTTAGTGCCCTATTTTCTTGTTTGGCGTTCAAGACAACATTTTACAGAGCAACAGATGTATCATTGATTTAGACACATTCGATCATGGATTAAACCAAAGTGCTGAACTAAGTACGCAACTGAATATTACCTATATAGCCGTGATAGGGTTATTTTTGTATCGGCCAATCAGTACATGAAGTTCCAGAGTTTTAAAGGACCTTCAGTATCTGGCTAGACGAGTGATGCCATAAAGTGATGCTCGGTGACTTTCATCATGTGAATCTTGAGTAGGAACCTTCCAGTTTAATCTCGTCGGTAGGACGTAAGTTGGCTTCACATAACAGGACTGCCACTTTCCTTATGTTTCCATTCTAATCAGTAGTTAGCGTCTGGCTACAGTCCACTGTTTGGGCTAAAAAATAAAACTCGGTGGCAGCTCAGACCAATCGGAAACCTAGTCTTGTGCTTGAATGTAACAGCCACTTCCTCTAGTGAACAGGTGTTGTTATAGGCTAAGGGACAGAAGAGTCATTAGGCCGAAAAATACTCGATATTACTTAAAAAGCATAATTAGAGGTGAAGGGAAATACTTCCTCATGACCAATGATGGGAGATTGGGTAAATAAAGTTGGCACATTTTAAATTGCCTTACCTGGAAGTATCTACGCTTTTCCAGGAGAAGACGATCCGCTTCGGCCAGCTTAATTTGCTTTCGAAGAAGTGCAGCGCCGTATATGGACTTCGTAATGTCCTTTGTGTCCTTGTCATTATCTGCCATGCCTTCAGCTGCCGAACTTTTGGCGGTTCTTGAATCATTCTCTTCAGAGACACTATAATCACATTTTTGAAAAAAAACCAAAACAATCTATACATAAGCATATGGATTACACGTTAGGAACGAAACGTGAGAACAAGAGTTATCGAATTCGGACGACCTCGTCTTATGAATTGAAAGGCCAGCACACTGAATTCAAAATGGGCTACATAAAATAACCAATCGGTGCAGAATAAAGACGGATCAAATTCACAATCTAACACGTTAATAAAATTTCCCGACAAAAACTTAAAGCAGAATACTGCATTACGGTCTCAATTTACCTAATGTCTGCCCGTCAACGCTTTTAGGTAGATCTTGCATAAACTGTGCCATGGATTGTGAAGTTTATCCGCCTGTAAATGTTATCTTGAGAAGATAACCGAGCATGTCCTTACATTCACACGTGCAGTTTTGAAGAAGCCTGCATATTCTAAATATGTTTTTAGTAACTACCAGCATATGATGCTAATCCACTCAAAGCTTGTGTCGGGCCCAACTACATTCTCGGTTTAAACGTCAAACACAGGAGAACTATTTGTGTGCAGTAATTTCGACTTAAAACAACCCATGTCTTCAAGTGGGATCATTGCTAAGCACGGTACGACAGTGAACCTAAGGGCAAAGTCGAGTTACCTTGGTAAGACCATTTAACAAATTAAAAGAAAAGCTTGAATCCCAGCCAGTTCTACAGTTGGCTGCTTAATTAATAGTCTTATGACCGATAGTCTTACAATGTTTTTCAACGATTGCAAAAGATTACGACTCTCAGTTAGCTCAGCTGACACGGGAGGTACTACCTCACACAATTACTGCTGAAAGTGGCCTGGTTACAAGAGGAAGGGCGGCTCAGTCAATCTACGGCCCTAGGCATCAGCAGGAAAATATGCTCTGCATTGAGGAATGACAACCACCGTAACGCTTGCTTTGCTTTATTGTCAGTGCGCCAATCATACAAAGCTGATGAGGGCTCTGGACCGACTGGAACCATTGTCCACAGCTGCCTATGTCTGAGAAGCTTCTGGCAAGCAAAGGAAACGAATCGCGCAAATCCATCGTTTTATGCTTCGCGGAGAGTCGCTTGAGGGAAAGGGGACTTTACTTCCTGTGTTAATTGTTGTTCTGTGTGGTCTTGGGGTTCAGCATTGTTTACGCAACTATGAAATAAAAACCGCCAAAACCCCGCCTTCAGCGATACATGTCTGGAGCCCGCAGATGCGCGTCGGTGCAAAAGTGAACGGAACTCAATGAGGTCTTTGAGTAGGATAGCTTCCCACTCAGTAGTCAGTGATGGCTGTTTATTCGCAAGCCCCTGTATTTGTGATATTTAAGAACGGCAAAATGACAGTCCGAACGTCGCACCCGACGATTGCACCATGCACTCCACAGCAAGATGAGAGCAGGCACGATAACCTGCGCGTGAAGTAGTTTATGGTGAGTGTGGACTTGCGTAGCACTTACGACACTCCCTCCTCCCCCATCTGAGCTTGGCGTCAAAGCATAGTCAAGATGACCGAAGGTGGAAGGGGGGACAGATGGCTGACACGGCTGGGCTCGCACCTAGAAGCATCACCTCACCTCATGGTCTACAACAAACATTTCACCAGAATTTTAAGCAATAATAAAAGTTGGTCAGACGGAGTAAAGAAGGATACAAGTCACGGGGCAACCATATATACGGCCCTTAATCCCAGCGGAGCACAAGCGCACCTACCAGCAGGGAACCAGGTTCCAGAGAACTGCAAATTCACACCAGCCTGTGAGGGTCATAGTTTGTTTAATCGTGGCACAGCAGACGCGCATAATCCTTAAAGCTCAGAAGACGAGACAAAGCCCTACATTTAGCCTAGGCCACTACCCTTCAAAGGCCGGGCAACCAGTCAGTCATCGACTGAGAAGCACTAACCATATATATACATTCCTCATGTGCGCGAGAGTGCCAGAAACGACATTATAAAGCCCTACTGGCGTATAACAGGAACAACAAGGACAAGGTATTTCAGTACTTGTGCGATTGGCACATTCCTGGTGAGGAGGGATTCATTAATTACCGATTGAAACCAGGATCCTTTGAGCAAATTACATAGCACATCTCCTTGGACTAGCACGGTTTTCTCGTTTGCCTGTCTCTAAGCAGCTCAAGGGAAGATCGTCCGTATGCGAGACAGAATCCAAAATAGGGTCATTGATCAGGAGGCAATTAGTTAGTTAAGCATTCTGTAATTTGTTTCCGGCCGTTTTAACCTCCGTCCGAAAATATGAGCTATAAACTGATCAGTAATAGGAAATCAGTGCAGTATCAAAACAGTGTGTGGCTATGCAAGCAAACTGCACCTGGTACAGATGGTTGTCTAAAATATTTCAATGGAGTTGAAAATTGTTTAGTGCTACTTCAATGGAAACTTGTAAAGGCAACCTACCGGCCTATTTTGGGAAGCTCAGTGTGCTCCGTTCTAAAGGATATTCCTATGTTCATTCTTAATAAAAAATTTAGAAAAATTCAGAAGTTTTCTGCATTCCTTAAATATCCAACAGAGTATAAACTCAATTATTTTTGTGCATGATCTTGAGTCTTAACTCATAGTTGTGGATGTGAATAGCGTGCTGGGATTTTTAGCCGTTTTTGACATTCTTTCCTTAAAAGTCTTTTGCCACGTTATGACTTTCAGTACTACTGTTCGATGGCTACAGAATGATGCTGAGGGTGGGTTTATTTTTGAATAATTGCGTCACATTGTCGGCACTCATTTACCATAGTAGGTTCATTTCCGATTATTATTCTTCGTCGTCTGTTGCAAATCTTTCATGTACTCCTTAATCCTCCCATTTTAGATCAAAAACGCATGCCCCATCGCTATGCCCCACTTAGTGCGGATAAGATCTCAGTTCTGTTGAATTTTTCAGAACCAAGCCTAGAATAGCGGTAGTTGGAAGTCTAAAAAGGGATTATTAATCTCCAATTTCATCTGTCGCTAAGGCAGAAACCGCCTAACAAATCCATAAAAATCGACTGTACCTAACCCCAAATACTTTTGGATATTAGGGACGCGTAGATAGCAGTTTCGCCAAAAAACGCATTCGAAGCCCGTGGAAATATATACACTTCTTGGAACAGGCCCTGAATAAATTATTACACTCGGATTTGAATAAGGAGAAACAACTGATGGTTTTGCTGGATATTTTCTTTCATGAACGAGATGGTTTTGTTCGGATACCTTGTTTTTAAAAATCGAACGGAAAGTTGTATTTCTCTAACCCCTAAGCCTTGCGTCATTTTAAACAGCAAACTACATGACTGGTAACAGTTGCACATAGATAGTATATCTACTTAAATTGCTAGTGAAGTCAGCCATTGTAAACCATGACTTGATCACATAAGGCCATGCGATAAAACCAGACACAGATCTGCGGCTTAAATGTAGGCGAAGAGGGAAAGAGCACTAAAATAATTATAGCAGCAGTCAGTGTGCATCGAAATTAAAATTATTCAATAAAATAACGATAGATCAGTTCACCAGGAAAGCCTCCCTTCTACTGAGCTTTTAAAAATTGCCGCACACAAGACAATGTTGTTAAAGTAAACAGGTTCCTATCCAGTTGAATAGAGAAAATTGTCCTGCAGACCCATTTTTACAAATCGTTGCCAGCCCTTAAAAACTCTAGGTGCAAAATAACTGAGACTACGTTACCATGAGCCAGTTCAACTAGATAACAGCTGTTGCAATTTTAAAAAGCAAGGAAACATGTTACTGCGGAATAGACTACGTTTTTGGAAGTAATTTCGTGCATCCTATTTAAGCGACCAGAATCACAGCTTTATGTTCATCCTTAGGTATCCAGTTTTGTCGCTGATTGTAAAAATACTTCAGTGTAACGACCTAGCCGCAATAATTCTTCGTTAAAGAGAGAATAAACCTGGAGCCGAGTTTCCAGGTTTTGGTGGATAAACGGTCATTTGCGACAAAAATATGCAAACTAATTGCCACAGTATCGCACACGGAGTCAACCAAACCTTAAATTGTCTTCTGTATGCGGTCTATCTAGCCGCATTAAAGACTTATAATGGTTAAATGCTTCTGAGCAAATTTTACAGATTTGAATTAGTAAATATTGTCGTAGTTCTCGTAGAATTATAGACTGTTCGTCTGCTGTAGATACGAATTTATTTTAGTACCTTCATTATTTCATGATCCAGAACAGTTTGTGATATTTATCAATATATCATTGCTGACCGCTCTATATGTATTTTGTCTAAATTCTCAACAGACATTATCTATTTGCAAATACTGCATACGCTGGATGTTGCAGAAAACATGTGACTGTCAAACACTAAAAGCTGACAATTAACTGGAACACTTTTTCTTCATGTACATTTGTTGTGAGACAAACATAGCAACTGTTGACCCGTAGAGAAACACAAAGCTTAACTTTATTATTGTTCTGTTCGACTATGTTCCACAGTTTGTAAGCCTACCTGTTAAGCAGTGACTGGGATTATCAAACCTGTTTCTAGCATACTAATAAGTCACGCACACATACTGCTCTGTATTTTAATTTCAATTTTTTGGGTTTAAATTAGTCGAGAACAAATATGCCTAAAGTCGGAGGACCGATTACATTTAGGCAGCCTGAATATGTTTTGTGTTATATCATGCCGATTTGTTTGCTCACGAACATTCCAAATAATAAAGAGTGTAAATTTACAGAATGTCTGCTAACTCATGAAATGTTAAACGAAATTACGAAATGCGTTCTTGTTCCCAAAATATTATTTAAGTAGGGTTGTAGAACTTATCATCATGATGCATATTTTTATAATAATTCAGTCACCTCAGGATTCCAGCTTTTGGACGAACTTCCTTCCGGCTGCATGCGAAAACTATGCAATATAAAAATATTTACTTAATTGGCATGCATTTTCTGACTGATTTTCGATGCCCATAAAAATTCAATTATATTTCATG